ACTTGCTACTTTAACTCTTATCTTTAGTAACTGTAGGGCTGCATTCTGGCCCAGACTGTGCATCCACATAGGAACAGAGATTTGGTATGGGCATATAGGGATCATGGGTGCTGTACAAACTGCTTACTCTCTTCCACCCAGAGAAGGTGGGAGAGAAATGGACAGACTTTTGATTCTGTCCCTCTCAGTACACACTGGCTACTGGAACTGAGCAAGCATGGTGGGGTGAGAGGTAGTAGTCTGCTGCTGATATAAGCCATCAGCAAATCACTTCTCCCTGGAGCAAATCGGGGAGCAAGAAGGAAATTGTCTTCTGGAGCCTGGAATGCTCCTAATGTCACAATCTAATCTTTGTATAATAAATAACCTGCACAAAGCCTGGATTGCTTTCTTACTCTGGAAAATGCACTTAGCATTGTCCTCTGCCCCTTTCCCTTCCTTTGAATGCCTCTCACAGATTACTTTATGTTTTTGCTTCATTTTTCCCCTTCCTTTTATTTTTCTCATCATTTTGTGTATGGATTAATATACAGATATGCTCTTACTTCCCAAGATGCTTCTATGGTTTTCTGTTTTTTTAATTTATTCACAAGAACTCTGCATAGCCATGTTTCAGAGGAGTCAGTTTTCCATGGAATTGCAAAAAAAAAATCTATCATAATGCGAATAACAAAATGAACATACCTGCTGAGGTCCCACTGCAAAATGTCTGGCTGCATTTCAGTGCCACTATGCCCAAAGGAAAACAAACAGCTCACTCTGAACCAAACATACCCTTAAAAAGTAATGTTAATGTGCTTCTCAGCACTCTCATACAGCTAATCTTGTCATGTAGAGCGTGCTGAAAACTAGATGAGCGCCAAAACAAATGAGGCTTTCCTATTTAATGATGAATGGTTTTGGAACAAAATGTATCAATCCCAGACAAAAATCTTTACTGAACTGGAGATAAGATAAGAAAATATGTATTAATAACTTGCAGGGGGTGGGGAATTAATGGAACAGTGTATTTTTTAAAAACACACATCCAAAAACCTGGAAATCAGTGTTTGCATTTTACAAATATTAATAAAATAAATACATGCCCTCCTATGTTACCACTCTGAGAACACTTCATATGATATAGGTGTGGAGAACTGGGGAATATCTGTATTATTTTTCATGAATGGGGAGTGGAGTGTTTGTGTGATCTGTTACTTGCAATGGAGCTAAATCAAAGAGGTGGTTAAAAGGACCAAACAGGAATGGCAAAACAATAACAGGGATAAGAGTCCTGGAGGGAACAATGGGGAAGCTGTTAACTGGGGAATGTGACTCCATCCAGGTTTAATCTTCCCAACACTAAGGCTAGGTCTACACTACCCGCCTGAATCGGCGAGTAGAAATCGATCTCTCGGGGATCGAATTATCGCGTCTCGTCGGGACGCGACAATCGATCCCCGAATCGACGCTCTTACTCCACCAGCGGAGGTGGGAGTAAGCGCCGTTGACAGGGAGCCGCGGAGGTCGATTTTGCCGCCGTCCTCACAGCGGGGTAAGTTGGCTCTGATAGGTCAAATTCAGCTACGCTATTCGTGTAGCTGAATTTGCGTATCTTAAATCGACTCCCCCCTGTAGTGAAGACCTGCCCTCAGTGTAGAATCAAAGGAGGACACTAAACCATTTGTGGACCCTGGACCTAGAAAAAGGAGAGGGGTCAGGGGAGCTGAGAGAGGCCTCCCAGAGAGTGTCAGTGAGCACTGACAAGGATGCAAGGAGACACCCAGACTGACTGAGAATCAGGGTCTATAGCTAACAGGTTACAGCATGGTGCCGAAGAGAAAGGGGGCACCAAGGCTAAGTCATGTCTCCCAAGAGGCTTGAGGGGAACACCAAGTATAGGCTCCCAAAGGAAAACTCCTACAGGCACCAAGCCCATTGAGCCTGCTAGATATCCTTGTTGGCAACCGGAGGGGTGTAATCTGGAGACTCTGTCAGAGAGTGGTTGGACTGCATGGTTCCATCCCAAAGAGAAGTGGAGGCATGGGCCTGTCACTGGAAAGGGATCTCAGAAGGAGCAGTCTACCCAGGAGCCATGACTCATATGGACATATGAAAAATTTTCCTGAAATTTGGCAGGTTCAACACTTGATACACTGGTGATTGGGTCTAAACTCCACAAATTTAAGGAAATCTTAAAATTCATATACTGTGGTTGCAGACTTCATAAACTACATCCACCATGGTTTGTGTAGCCTAAATGCAGGAGTACGCTAGGTTTAAATGTCTGCAGCACACAATCTAGGTGGTGAGGGATTAATATGTTTCTATGATTTCTGGTGCCTAATGTCAGGCAGTTAGGGCCCCAGTCCATCAAAGCACTTCAAGTATGTGTTTTATTTGAACCTGTTTAAAGTTAAGCACTTGCTTGGGTGCTTTGTTAAGCTGGGGCCTAAATTAGGAAGTCTCAGGTAGCAGCTGGATAGGTCTTTTACGTTTATGTAAAGTGTAACTATTGTTGTTAGACTATCCTACTTATATAGCATCCAAGAATCTCAAAGTGCTTTATAAATGTCCGTATTTTTAGTTTCACAATATCATTGCATGGTAACCAGGCATCATTGTAAATAAACCACAGATGGATTAAGAGACTTGCCCAAGTTCCAAAAGGAAATCTCTGGCAGAGCCAAGCATAAATTCCAGGTCTCCAAACTGTCAGTCCTATGCTTGAACCACAAGACCATCCTTCATCTCTTAAGAGTCACCGTGATGTTGGTGTTGCTGTTGTCTAAGGAAGAGTGAATTTAATCTAGTTTCTTTGGTCAAATAGGTGGTGAATGATATACACATTTGTATGTCCAATTTAATCCAGTTTGTATGTCCAGTGTAGCTGGGGCTACGCAGCTCAAGATCTCAATTTTGAAGTATGATGGCTAATATTTGTCTCATGTTTTTGGGCAGGGGTGTGGATGGGAACGCACAGGCAGAGTTAAGGTTGTTTGGGGAGGGCATTAACTCCACTTTTTTCATACTTTCCAACATTTAGAGGTTTCTTTCAAATATAAACTTTGAATTTCCTGGCTTCCAGACATTTGTGTTTCTTAGAGATACAGAAGAGATCCAAGGTCTAAGCAAAAATATATACAGTGGTTCGGAAGCCACCCTCTTATGATAGCAAAAGGTAGAGAAAATAAGCCACCGAGAAACCAATCACTAAGTAGGGAGAAGGAGTAGCCAGGCTTTCTTCCAGTGCCTCTCCCTATTATGAACATGGGAAAAGAGGAGAGAGTGCCAATGACTGCTAACCTAGGAAGGGGAAAAACAGATAGCCTTCTTCCGATCAACTGGAAGGAGTGTGACACAGACCCCTGTAGCATACATCTTGCACCTCAGATCTGACAAAACTCATACATCATATTAATCCATAAAGAGTAATGTGTAAGGTATCTATAGAGAGCTCATCAAGTATCATAATCATTGCGAGATGTAAGTATGAGTAATAGTTATGGAATAAGGTATCTGTTTAAAGAATGCTTTACAGACCAGGAGTAGAAGTTAGTCACCAAGAGTTAACGTGTCTCAGTGATGGCCCCATTCAGGCAAGGGGGAGTTATCACCCCATTCAGTGATGCAATGCAAGGCTCAGTCGTTTGGCCTTTTGCAATACTGAGACTCTGAGTGAGAAACCATCAGAGGCAATGACAAACAATAGAAAAACTTAAAGGCAAAAAAGAAACTTTACAGCAAGCCAGGGGTTCTCCCTATCTGTGAATAGAAACAAAAGGCTATTTTCAGTATAACGCAGAGGAGGGAGAGGCACTCCATGTCCATTCACTGAGAAAACCCATTGGAAGCAAGGGGGTTTCATGAACATTTGGATCCTGGTTTTTATTCAACCAGCCAGATCTGCAGTAGACTGAACTTTGGGGAAAATCTGCCTTATTGCATAGGAGAGGTAACTATTGATAAGTGTAGACCTAGGTTCGAGTTTAATGCTATTGTTTTGTGTTATAATCACTTGGTTTCATCAGTTTCTCCCATTTATAGTTAAATCTGTATTCTTTCTTAAATAAGTCTGCTTTTGTTTTATCGTAAGTGCTCACGAGTGCCGTGTGGTTTGCAGGAGTGGTGGGTTAAGGTAAAACTGGTAAATTGAGGTACACTGCTTCTTTGGGGGCAGAGGATCTGGAATTTCTGAGAGTAGCCAGCAACAGGGGCTGGATATCACAGGGGTACAATTCAAAGGGGACTCGGATTCTAGGGTGCACCTATTGTTAATCTAAAACGTGAAGAAAAGGGTGACATAACCCACAGGAGAGGGCTTGGGTGGCTAACAGGTTGGTGGTGTCAGGGAGCTGACACCCAGCTAAGCACAAGCAAGTCTCCCTCACATTGGAGGCCTGGGGCGTAACAAGGTGACTCAGTGTCATGGGTGCCTGAGAAACATCACTGGGAGGGAGAGGAAGAGAGAGCTTCTATCTCACTAGCAGGTGGGTGAGGGGCTAAGAGAGAGAAGCCAGAGCCAACCATACAGCCTGTCTTTCCATTATTTGGAATAACAAGAGAGCCCTCCACCTCCTTCCATGCAGCCAGGGGAGAGCTGCTTTATGGTTCCATTGAAGCAGAAGGATGCATAGTGTCATGTAACACCATGATTTGAGGGAAAGAAAAAGATGAAAGGGTGATAGGGCATGGCCTTACTTTGGAATTTGTCTGAGAGAAAGCAGCAGACAACTCTACTTAAAACTTTGCCTTGGTTCTATTGCCAGTTCTATTTGTGTGCATTTGAGTGCATTGATGAATAAATGCAATGCCTTTTCTGCAGAAGATAACAGCATCCATTAATTTTTTCTTTACTAAAAGGAAGCAGCAAGTTGATTGCCATATAAAGTACTTCCTTATCTACCTTCATTTACAGATCATCTTGTCATTGCTTAAACAATACCATGCTTTGATCATACTATACTGCCTAAATATTGCTCTTTGTCCTTCTCTGTCCTGTCCTTCGTCTTCCCTGATAGACCGATGAAGAGGAGGATATAGAGGTATGGTTCTTTGAAAGAGCATGTCGTTTCCGCATCCCCTGTGTGCTGTGAGATCTAATTCTAACACAAATATTATGGAATGCTCAAGTCCATTAGCTCAACTGGAACCATGCACGGTGACTTTCATTCTTGTGGCTTTTTGGCTCTATCTTAAGACTGTTTATAAAGTAGCTTTAACAATGAGTTTAAAGTGTTCTCCTACAAATCCTGATTTGGAGCCTTAATTACATGAAACTTCCTTTCTCCAGTTCCCAGAATCATTAATTAAGTTGATAATTCCCTTAACTATGCAAAACTTCAATAATCTGAGTGTCATGGGGAAAACTTTGGATGAAGGTTCCCATGACAATGGGATAATCAATGATGTGCTGTCTATGCACAAATCTTTATTTTATGAGCAGTTCAAACATCTGTCTATAGAGATGCAAAACAAAATTTTGCAACATCTGCATTGTGAATCCCAAAGAATTGAACAATGGAATAGTTTGTGAACTTCTTAAAATTCCTCTTAATACATGAGTCTGGAAATAAATGAATAAATAATGTACTAGCTGACATACCTGCTGTATTCCCAGTGGAACAGTCTATTGTTATGGACAGCATCTCATTGTGTAATGCATTCTTTGTTCAAAAATAGCTCACTCATCCAGTTCAACTAACCAAGCAATTTGATTGGCTGAATGCCCAGTGCTTCATAATGACAGTCATTTGCACAAGGGCTAGTCTTTGAGGGTAAACAAAGCATTGGCATTTGAAAATGAAAGATATGTAGGAAGCTACTTATCTGGGACCTCTTCTTCCCCAAAGATTATAACTTAATGTCTGGATGGGGCAGAATATGAGGAATCACCCAGGGCATGATGATTTGAACCCATTAGATGGAACAATATGTGCTATTGAATTAACATTTGTGCAAAAATATTTGACTAATGTGTGTATTTTAACTAATGGTTATATGATGATAGTCTCCTTTGGTTTTTCTGTGACATTTTGTATCTGTTAACTTTTCAACTTACTGTCAATATTATTTTTAAACCAAGACTGGCATGCACTGCAGTAGAAGTTTATCACTAATATTTTTCTAAGCTTTATTTTCACATATGAGACTCTAGCACTTATACGTTTTCTTCCTCCAAATGAGGCAAACTGATATTTTTAAAACAAATTCTAGGCATGCACCATCAGCAGTATATCTCAAATTAATATATTTACCTCACTCTTTGTAAGGATCATTGCTTTGTTATTTGGTTAACTTACAGTTCTAATCTGATCAATCATTTTGTTTAAATAGTATCATTCTCACAGTAATTTCCAGATCAAATATTTTCAGCTTACAAGTAAAACAATGGGGTTTTCCTAACAGCCAGCCCTGCAAACTCAACGTAGGCTCTGAGAGTCAAGCTGGGTTCTTTCCTTCTAAAGCGTCATCACTAGTAATAAAGGCTCTATGGATTTTCTTGAGTGCAACTGATTGGCCTTATAATAGGAAATTAATAAACAATCCTGTTTATGATGCAAAAGGAGGAGTAACATTCAACACGCTTTCTCATATCTGTGTTATGTCTGCCGGGCTAACAGGCGTGAGGAGAAATTTAAAAAATATTTTAGCCCCTGGTGCTTGCAAATATGACTCTGAATACAACACTGGGGCAGGTCTATTGAGTAACAAGTTACCATTTTTATGTAATCACTTTTCAGAGTAGAAACATACCTTAAATATTCTTTCTGACAGTAAGAACCATGAGAGTAAGTGGCACATTTTAACCTTAGCATCCATAGGCTGAAATAGATATATAACATGCTCCTCCTCTGAAAACATCATGCTCCCTTAAAAATGTTTTGCTCTGCAGAAGTTCTTAGAGATCATCTGATCCTGGTGTATGTTGTCTGGCTTCAATCCTAGACAGGTTTCTTCTGTAACTGATGAAACCTCAGCCTACTGTCACAATACTTTGTGTTATGTATGTGCAGCTAATTTAGAAACTGTTTCTTAGTGTTGTCTTGGTAATACAGAAATCATACACAGATTGGGTGAGTGAAGGGCAGATTCCAAAATCGGTTTAAGGTTTTGTTTGTTCTTCTTACTGCCGCCTGCAATTTTTGTGCTCCAGCCATGAAATTATTTGGCAACATTTTTTCAATGTTGTTCTTAATGTATTTTTAACTTACTGTAGGTAGTTGCTATTAGAACCGCATGACTGTTATCTGTAGATATGCAGGGGCAGGAATAGAGGGGGAGGTTAGAGACGGCAGGAAAATGTCTCCTTTCATGGACAGTGAAACTACTTCTGCTCTGCCAAGTTACCCGTAGTTGATGTTACAGAACAAACTTACCTACTCCTTACTTAGCTAACTTGATTCATCTAGTGTGCCCATCATTGTGGTATTTGAGTCCCAATAGCAGGCCCTTACCCAAGGTCACACAGCAGGTCTTTGTTTCACACCCTATGCTCTGATGGAAAAGGTATGAAGATTAAAGCCTATATCTATGCCTAGTTTTTTTGAGGATTTTATATTCACCTGGATATTCCCTTGTCCTTGTAGCTATCAGGGTCTGTTCTCTTGGAGAGAAGTGAATATTGCTCCTCTCTTGAGCTTACCTGTACTACAAATGAGTCCAGGCAAGCAAGGATCTCTGATTGTGTGTCTACTGCTCAGTGTGTGATGTGTGGCATATTTTCTTTACTAGTTTCATTCTTTAGAACTAAATAACTTCAGTAAAGAAATTAGAACCTCTCTGACCACACACCACTAGTTGTCACCTATCACCCCACACTGGAACCAGTATGGGGTATCATCAAACAACTACAACCCATACTCCATGGGGACCCCATCCTGAAGGAAATCTTTCCTGAATCCCTTCTTCTGGCCTTCAAACAACCCTCCAATCTCTCCAAACTCATTATCAGAAGCAAGCTCCCCATACCCAGGACACACCAACTCAAAGTAGACGCAGACCCTGCCAGAACAACAGATGCAAAACCTGAAAACATATTTCTGTTGCTACAATGATCAACACCCCCCACAACACACCTTTCAAGGTCCATGGGTCCTACATATATCAATCACAGCATATAATGTACCTCATCCAGTGCATTAAATGCCTCAATAGCAACTATATGGGTAAAGCCAGACAATCACTATGCTCTCAAATGAACTCACAGGAAAATGATAAAAGACAAAAACACCCTATCACCTGTGGGTGAACACTTTTCTCACTCTGCAGCTGACCTGTCAGTCCTCATCCTCAAGGGAAGCCTGCACAATGATTTTAAAAACAAGCCTGGGAACTTAAATTGATAATTTTGCTTTACACTAAAAATCATGGACTAACAGAGACACTAGATTGATGGTTTATTACAACAATCTGTAGCGCCACTAACAACCCCCTCCAGCTGCTACTCCCACCCCCCTTTGCTCCTTATGACTGGAGCAGTGTTAAAGGGCCACTTCATCCTGTGTGATCCCTTGAAATATGTGTTAACAATTTATGCTAAATTATCTGTTCCATCTTGTAATTAGCTGTGACGCTCTGTGTACCTTTCCTAGACCCGAAGAAGAACTCTGTATAGGCTCAAAAGCTTCTCTCTCATCAACAGACTTTGGTCCAGTAAAATATATTTCCTCACCCACCTTAGCTCTTTAACTTAGATTGTGTCAATTAAACAAATTCTTTTTCTTTCTGCAGTCTGGAAAGTTCTCCAGCAACTCCACCCCATCTCAGAGCCAGCCCCAGGGTTTGCAGTATGCTGAAGATGCAGCAGAGCACGAGAACATGAAGGCTGTGCTGAAGACCTCCTCCAGCAGTGGGGAAAGCACCACTGCGCTAGGTGTTCGCACTCGAAGTAGAGCCAGCAGAGGTAAACGCTGTGCTTTTATTTTCTCAACTCCCTTTGGGCGATTGTCGTTAGTTATTGTGTGTACTACAGTAAGACGTTGAGGTCAGGCCGCCGAAGTGGGGGGGCTGACAATCTAAATAGTCAGAAGAGAAAAAGCAATTTTTGTTACCCCCCATTTTACAAATGGGGCACAGACCCATGGAGTGGTCTGCCTAAGATCAGGCAGGTGGGCAGTAGCTGAGAGTGGGAGTTGCAATAAGGAATAATGACCACTTAAAATTGACACACACACCCCTTCCTGCATGAGCCTGGCTCCCCTTTAAGCCACAATTTGTATTCCTCTGATCACTGTTTATTATGAAATATAGATGAGGTCAACTTAATTTTTTCCAATACAAGCAAGTTGAAAGTAGCCATTTGGCCACAAACTGTTGCTTAAAGGGCATCAAATCTCATGAGGAATGGCGGGGAAAGAGGAGGAGGATTTGCAAAGTTCTTGAAGGAATAAAAGAGATTATAAATGTATAAACATTTCCCTGCCATTTGATTTATCCTACTGCACAGAACTGCTGTTTGTTGTGGACACATGAGTCTACACCAGGGGTGGGCAAACTTTTTGGCCCGATGGCCACACCTAGTTTAAAAACTGTATGGAGGGCTAGGTAGGGAACGCTGTGCCTCCCCAAACAACCTGGCCCCTCCCACTTCCCACCCCCTGACTGCCCCCCGGCCCATCCAACCCCCCCCCGCTCCTTGTTCCCTGACCGCCCCACCTCAGGACCCCACCCCCTACGCCTATCCAACCCCACCAGTTCCCCATCCCCTGACTGCCCCCTCCCAGAACCTCTGCCCTATCCAACTGCTCCCTGTCCCCTGACTGCCCCCCAGGATCCCTCCCACTCCCCGCCCCCTTACCATGTCGGAGCCAGCCACGCTGCCGTGCTGCCCAGCAGGAGCGGCGGGCCAGAGTGCTGGCAGCATGGCAAGGTGAGGCTGCGGGGGAGGGACCAGGGGCTAGCCTTCCCAGCCGAGAGCTCAGGGGCCAGGCAGGACGGTCCCGCAGGCCAGATGTGGCCCACCTCTGGTCTACACCATATATACAAGCTCAGTGTTGTTTTTGTAAAACCGATTTTTAAAAAGTGAAATGGAAGGTGAAGAATCAGTCACACCAATCACGTAAAATCATTCCACAGTGAACACTAGTACTCCGTGGATAAAGCATAATGCACTCAAGGCTTGTATCAGTCCCAGATGAATGTACACATTGATATCACTTAGTGCCATAGTAAGGCTGGTGATACCAGCTAGTAAAGAGAGAGCAGATTGGGGGCAGATCATCTGCCTTCAATAGGTATCCATGGATGTGCTCGCAACTCTAGCAGCTCTTTCTTCTTCCTTTGAAACCAGCAGTTGTCAAGTGTCAGCACGGTTAGTTCTGAAAACTGAATCCTGGGAAATCAAATGTTGTCCCAGGCTACAGTGCGCAGACCCAATATTCTGACAGAGGAGTTCAGTAGTACAACCATCTCTGGCAATGAGATATCTTCATGTCTTCTCCCTCATGTGATCCCCTGGAATCTCTATTCATAGGAAGAGCAGCAAGCAAACCACTTCCTTATTGCTGAATCATTTCACAGATAGTGGGCCCATTAACTCATTTTCCATTCACATTTTTTCTTACAGCTGTGGTTTATCAATTAATCAATCAATTAATGGTTCTGGAGTACAGGGAATTAATTCTTGGTGGTAAGGCCTGCTCTTCTTGGTATTCCTTTCCCTCGTGTATGGAAATCTTATCCGTTACTGATTTCTCTTGGTACTGCTATGCCTAGACCCTGCTCTGCTAGAAAAAGCATTTTCTATGTATTTTATTAAAGCTTTGATGCCTGGCTCCAACAGCCCCAATTTAAAAAGCAGGCCGAGTAGCTAAGATACAAAGAAGTAAACAACTCAAGCTGCTCTGCAGCAAGCTAAATAGCTGCCGTAATTCATTAAGTGCTAGTGAGCAGTGTGTCCTGTAATAAGATTCAGTTCCTGTTGGCTTAAAGAATAACAGAAGCGGTGGTAAAGTGAGCCAGACAGAAGCCTTTTAGGAGCCCTGTCCTAATAGAACTGCTGTTGACAGGAGCCTGGAAAAAAAGCAGCAGGACACATTGCTAATCAAGACTCTGCTATTTACTGTCAACAGTGAGGTGCCAAGGGATGGTCCCATCACTGATATTTTTTTAAGCTGACTGTGTTTACTGAGCCAGCTCTTTTGGAAAGCTCATTGTCATTATTCTGCCGACTGACTAACCTTCAAATTATTAAGAAAAACAAACAATAATATCTAATGGAGAAACCCAAAGATGTGCCTGATAGAGGGCTCTGTGCAACAGGGAGGGCTATAAGTTCATGGATCTTTTGGGTTCGGAGACATGGCTCTCTTGTGTGTGTGTGTGTGTGTGTGTGTGTGTGTGTGTGTGTGTGTGTGTGTGTGTGTGTGTGTGTGTGTGTGTGTGTGTGTGTGTGTGTGTGTGTGGTTTTAACCAAAATTGCTTATATAGCTTTTCAGTCTGAACATTTTGCCAACCACTTTTGCTTTTCTGCTTGTAACAGAGCACATGCCCTTGTGCCAGGATATATCCAGCCATGCAATAAAAAGGTGATTTCTTCCTTTCAAAGGGGAAAAAAACATCTTGAACCAAATTCTTTCCTCCATTACATCCCCTTTGTGCCACAAGCGTGGAAGCAGACGTGGTATAGTCTATGCCATCCACACTGGCTCCAGTGTAGGGAGCAAAAGGGGATGTGAGGAGAGCATGCTGCATTCCAGCAATCCCCAGCTGGTGGACAGTCTCTGGGAGACTATTGCCAGCTGCATAGTCAAGAGGGGAGCCATTAGTTTAAAGCCAGTGCAGAACTCCCTTATAGCTCACACTCTGCTGGTGCTGCAGAGTAGCTGGGGCATTATCTAAAATGTTCTGTAATGGGTAGACGTTTTTACTCTGACAGATTTGAAAAAGCAGTCACTGAGCTGCCTGCTGTCATTCTGCAATGATCCAACTACAAACAAAGGTGATGTGTGAGGGATACTCTTTTTCTAATAATCCAATTTGTTCCAGGCCGTATCGGTTCATGGAATGCTGCTGGTGATGATTCACCTAATGCTACAGATGATGCAGCTGATGAGATCATGGATCGCATTGTAAAGTCAGCCACCCAAGTGCCAAGTCAGAGAGCGGTGCCTAGAGAGAGGAAGCGGTCACGAGCAAACAGGAAGTCATGTGAGTACTGCTGATAAACTTGTAGCAATGGAGAGGAAAGCTGTCTGTCCATCTATCTCTTTTCATATGCACATCTGTATGTTTATATGTATGTGTATAAATATGTAGGATCAACTCCTTAGCTTGTGTAAGTCAACATAACTCCAGTGATTTCACTGAAGTCTGTACATTGAGGATCTGTCCCAAAATGTTTCAATTTAAAATTAACATTTAAACTTTTTGGTGATAAGCTATTAGCATTATTTAAAATCCACTTAGCATTTGGAAAGTCTAGAATTAGCTATTTTGCTCAGGCAAAACAGCATAAAACATAATGGTAAAAATACTCTATGGAAGTCAGAATTAATATCAGGTGAAGAAAAGCTTCACGGCTTGAACCTGGCTTCCAATATGTAGATAATATTGCTGCATATTTGATAAAATCAGGTATTGGGCATACAAGCCCGTACCTATTCTTCTTCTTCGAGTGCATGCTCATGTCCATTCCCGTGTAAGTGTGTGCGCGTCACGTGCACTGTCACCGGGAGGTTTTTCCCTCAGTGGTGTCTGTCGGGTCACCTCCAGCGCTCTATATAGCTCTTTGTGGCACTCTATATAGGAACCTGCTGACCCAGCACCCCCTCAGTTCCTTCTTTCCATACAGTCCGCTTGTTGTTGAACTCCGAACCCACCTCCAACATTTGCTTGGGAGTCACCTACATGGGAATGGACATAAGCACTCGAAGAAGAAAAAATGGTTACTAACCTTTCCGTAACTGTTGTTCTTTGAGATGTGTTGCTCATGTCCATTCCTGAACCTGTCCTCCTACCCCTCTGTCGGAGTTGCTGGCAAGAAGGAACTCAGGGGGGCCCTAGGTCAGCAGGCTTCTATATACAGTGTCATGAAGGCATGACTCCAGAGGGCGCCAGAGTTGACCTGACGGATACCACTGATGGAAAAACCTTCTGGTAACGGTGCCTGTGGTGCGCACTCACCTATGTGGGAATGGACATGAGCAACACATCTCAAATAACAACAGTTACTGAGAGATTAGTAACCATTTTTTACTGTACAGTTACTATTGTGGACAATGAGCGTCTATGTACTAGAGAACTGAACAAGTCTTTAGTAGGAAAAGGAGTCCAATGTGTAAAAGTGCTTTAATGTTTCTGTGATCACAGTACACATCAACAGGGTACTGCAATCAGTTAAAGAACTCAAATGGAAACTAAATTAACTTGCAGTGAAGCATTGTGAAGTAATAAAAAAAAATGTATTTGTATATGTATATAGAGAATACAAGATATGCCCTTGGGTAATTTAATTCACTCTACAAACAAATGGCATTGTGTCTGAACTATAAAAGGTCACTGTCCAATGTATTATTTCACAACTTTAAACATCTTTTCTTTATTGTTGGTACAATGTCCTTTTGCAAACTCGGAAGTAAAATCTGTCTACTTATGGTAGAGCAATTTGTCTGCAAAGCAGCCACAAAGCTGGTTTAATTTATGTTGGGAATTAAAGGAAATCCCATTGTAATGCAACCCTCCAGTGGCACAGAGCTGCCGTAGTCACCCAAGTTTGAGAAGTTTGGCTTTGATGTTTATTAAATGCAGTAGTTTAAGTTGCGGTAGTCTTTGCAATATTCCCCATTCTAAGCACGGAGAATATTGGAAGTATCGTGGGAAAGGTGAATACCAGAGAAGGGTAGAAATTAAGATTTTAATCATATTAACTGTCTGTGGCTTTGTGACCACCTCTCCATCCATTTTTTAGCATTTCCAGGAAGTTAGAACAAAGAAGAGACAACAACAGTGAGTGAAAGATCACAACAGGCATACTTTTTGTGGAATTGTTCTAGCTAAGTTAACCTTGTCGGTGATCAAAAGCATTCTGTACAAACAGCACTTGGCTTTTATTAGCTAGCATATGCCAAAAGCACATTCACTCTTCCCAAAGTGCCAAAAGAGGCATTTTTGCATGCGGCAACTTCCTCGGAGAAATTAAAAATGAAATAGACATTCTGGTTGAATGAGCAAGCCTTCCAGCAAAGAAAATGAGCTGACACTGGATTGTCTCTTTTACTTTCTGTCACAGAGTACACCACAGCTCTCAACAGCATATCCACTGCCACCACCTGCTGCCCCACTTGCACTTGTGTTCTCCATATGTGCTGATTGCTGTAGGTGACTCATGCATATCAAACAGATTCCCTGTATGTTTGCATATTTTTGTGGCTTACCCCATGCTACACTATTTCCTCTATTAGCAATCCTCTCCCCACACACACACCTAAAAGCCATATGTTCGATGTCTTTGCCAGGCACCTTTCTTCCAGGGAAGCACTTGCTACAGCAAAAAGGATAATAATGAAAATACTATATATTTTCCATAGGGCTGGTTTTCATTTATGTTTAGTGAAAACATCAACAGGGATTAAGGACTCAGTAAATGTTTAGGCTGGGACTGATTTCCATTGTAATTTATCCTGATAGATTCCAGCTCTCTCACTTGTTTTGTCTTCAAGGTCTCGGCTTGCCTTTTAAGTCGACTACAAGACAATTTCAAAATAAATGTAAAGTTCGGTAGTTTAGCATAAGGCACTTCAGAAAGAAGAATGTCTGGAACTGTACTACTTCAGTGGTAGTTGATACACCTGGATAATGAATGAATAAAATGGTTTGACTTGAAAAAACACTGAGCTGAGGAGATAATAAGACACCTGCATTTTCTCCCCAAGGAACTAAGCAGGACCCAAACAATATTAATGTAGAATTTAAGATAAGAGAATGGGAAAGGCTACTCTGACCGCTGAACGGTCAAGAGTCTATGAAAGTGGCACAGATCTACAGGAATATACTGGAAACTAGAACTTTAGGTGGTTTAGTGCTGCAGGGTTAGGTTCCTTTGTTATGTAAAGAGCAAAAGACACAATAGTTGGTTGTTCTGACCCATAAGGGTTGGCAAGACTCATCCCTACACATACACTCACAGTGAAAGTGAGGAGGGTGTATGTTTGGTGTTTCATCTAACTCAAAATGTCAAAGTGAAACTAACTTGAAAGTACCAGCTTGCACAATGTTTGTACTGCAGCCATGTAAAACCATACATTTCTCAGGGTTTTAATGCAGAACCATAAATATGCTCAGGTTCACTTAAAGCTTAGCAAAGTTTTAGGTGAACTTGGACTGAGGAGTTTGTGTTTCTAGCAAAATTGGAAACCCAAATGAGTTATGCATGACTGTGTTGCAAACATTTCATTCGACTCTACCAAATACCTTTCATAGACAAGGTGAGAGGACAAAGAAAATAGAGATGAGAAATTAGTAACTCTCAGTCATTTAGAATCAAAAGAGAAATAGAAATGGAGTTATGGAAGAAGCAAGCTCTTACTCAGACATTGGGTGAATCTATTGGGAAAATAATATATTTTGACATTTGTTGAATTAGGTCTTCCACAAAGTGGAATGAGATAAATTGTTGGATAATTTGGTCATATTCGGTATTTAAAGATCAATATTTAGATTTTAATGAAAAGAAAAGGTCAATTCAGAGCAACCGAAGGAGCCATACGTTGTGGGAAGGAATAAGGTTGTGAAGAGTCCATTGACGATACATGAATGGTAATTCCTGTATCTGCTCTACAACCTCTGAAGATATCAAGGGTTATTGATAAGTGCAGATCTGGCTTATAGGACCATTGAAAACAAATAAGAAGGAATTTGTTGAGAAGGAGCTGAAATGGAGAAGATGGATGCGGGTAAACTAAGAAAAACTGACATCTGCTGAGATATACTGTAACCGTATGAAGACTGTGTTCTGAAGGTGAATATGTGAAATGAGAGCCTGTTTCTGAGGTACCTCCGACACATTAGAGGTTTCGCAAGATAAAATCATATATACACAAGTCCAATGACAACTCAATGTCATTACCACGTGATAGTTGTTCTGTGGCCTATATGACATATGTATTGGACTGGAGAACACATGAGAAAACAGCCTCACAATCTGACACTCTCATTGGAAGTCTTAACAGAAAGCCCAAGGATTTAATGAGCCACAGAACTGAATTACCCTGTCTCATCTCTAGAGATGGTCCCCCAAAGTCAGGGTTGAGGCGCATTGCCATGGGAAGCTTGCACTGTTCTTTCCTCTGATGTGTCTGTTCTACATGTAAATAAAGACTCCTGTCTGTAGGTGTTCTCAATTCAGCATGTTCCACAAGCATTAAATAAAAACTGAGGGGTGGACATGTGCTATTTCCATTGTTTTAGACTGACAGCAGTTTTCTGTGTGAAAGGCTTTTTATAACATTATTTAGGGTTGTCCAACCCAGCAAGAAAATAGAAAATAATATAATTATGATGATCTGGTTCTCCCCTAAGGTTGGGATGAACTTCAGAAATGATACCATAACAAACAGTGAATATGAGGGAAAATTGGAAATGGTGATGTTTTAAGAATCACTGTATGCGATAGTCCAAATTCCAGTGAACACAGTCCAGCTAGTAAGGAGGAAAACTGAATTAGTTTTAGCAATTTGCAGAAAACTGTTATTGCAGACTTTGAAGCACTGGATTGTAAGGAATAAAAAATAGAAGTTGCAGAATGAGAAGGGGTCATGGAGATCTGAGAAAACTAGAGGAAGGAATGGAGGTATTTTGGTAGTGAAGGAAGTAGATGAAAGACGAACATAAGATGAGAGATAAGGTGGATGAGGTAATATCTTTTATTAGACCAACTTCTGTTGGTGAGCGAGACAAGTTTTCGAGCCACACAGAGCTTTTCTTCCAGTGTGGTGCGTAAGCCTGGGCGGCCGGTGACCTGGCCGCCTGGGAAGGCTAATCCCCAGCCCCTCCCCTTGTGCCCGAGGCCTCACCCCTCCCCTTCTGCCCCCCCCCACGCCCCGCAGGAGCCCAAAGCATCCCCACTGCAGCCCCCCAGCGCCGGACAGCC